AGAATTAGATTGAGTCAAGACAGGAAAAGAAGCAGGGTTAGTGACTGTGCCACCCACCAACTTGTATCTTATTAGTTACAAGAGGGAAAAAGATAATTATACTGTGAGGAAATTGATTTCTTTTCAACTGAGTAATCAAAATTTACATTATCAGTTAGGGAAAAACTGGATATCAAGTACCTCCAGATGTGTGATGGTTAAGGTTGTGTGTCAACTTGACTGGGCCAGATTCTTCCTCTTTTGGCAGTTATGATGTAGCCACCTCCATGATGAGATCTGCCATGAACAGCCACTCAGTTGAAAGGGATTTTCCTTGGGAATATGGCCTGACTCCAACATATACGGATGTTCTGGCAAAGCTCTCTGGCTCTTCACTCTATCTGGATTCTGCATCTGGCTCATTAACATCTGACCTCTAGTTCTCTGAACTTGAACCAGCAGCCTTCCATACTGCCTGATGATCTTGGAACCATTGCCTTCATAGCCTGAGCACCAACAGCTTGCCATCTTATCTACCAATCTTGGATTTGTCAGCCCCCATAGCCTGCTATACTTCCTGCCAATTTTGGGTTCGTCAGTCTCTGCAGGTATCTGAGTCAGGAAAACCCTCCAGCCTCTACAGACGCCCAACTTGTCAACCTCTACAACCATTTGAGCCATTTCCTTGAGATAAATCATTATCTATCTAATCTATCTAATCTTATTTATTTGTCTGTCTATCTATCTATCTATCTAAGCTTCACTGGTTTTGATTCTCTAGAAAGCCCAGTCTAAGACGACAAGATGTGATATCCTCTGAAAGACACAACATTACCTATTAAGTAATATATGATCTGAATGTAACCATGAAATATCAAATTCAAAATGAGCAATGTATTATTTAAAATAAGGAGGAAAATATCCATGTTGTAAGAGACAGAAAGAGCTCTGCAATTATTCCAGATTAAGGGAAGCTAAAGACAACTAAATGCAATATTTGACCTAGAGCAAATCCTGAACTGAAGGGGAAAATGACAGTATTAACTAACGACATTGGAAGGATAAATGGTACATTAAATAAAAGGCTTGCCAAGAATCCTACACTACTGAACTTTATAACTACACTATGGTTAAGAGAATATCTCTATTCTTAAGAAATATTCACTGAAATGTATTTAGGAGTAAAGGGCCATGATATATGTAACTTAACTCTTAAATGGTCCAGAAAAATAATTTTATGTGTGTGTATGCACATGTAGAAATAGAGAGATAGCAAAAATAGGTGCAAAGCAATGAGGTAAAATGTTAGCAACAGATGAGTCAGAGTAAAGAGTATACAGGTACTCTCTGTACTACTTTTATTTTTGTAGCCTTCTGTGAGTTTGAAATGATTTCCAAATAAACATTTTTAAAATTGCTATAACTAATGCTAAAAAAAATTAAATGTTGCTATATGTAAAATCTAAGGAGCTCAGGTTGTGTAGTGCTTAAGGCATTTGACTGCTAACCAGAAGGCTGGCAGCTCAAACCCACCAGCCACTCTGTGGAAGGAAGACTGGGCAATCTACTTCCATAAAGATTTACTACCTCAGAAACCCAAAGGGGGTCGCTATGAGTCAAAATCGAGTCAATGGCAGTGAGTTTGGATTGGTATATGTAAAATCTAGGGAGCTCTGGCTGTGTAGTGGTTAAGGTACAGGGCTGCTAACTAAAAGGCCAGTGGTTCGAATCTACCAGTTGTTCCACAGAACAAAGATGAAGCAGTCTGCTTCCACAAAGATTTACAGCTTTGGAAACCCAATGGGAGTCGCTTTGAGTCAGAATTGACTCTATGGCAGTGAGTTTGGGTTTTGGTATATGTAAAATCTAATCATTATTCTTTAGGACTAAGATATTCAATATCAGTGTATCATATCTTCTGCTATTTTTCATCAACTCCAAATATTCATCAATTTTAACACTCACCATTGTATTATGTATAATGAAGGGGAAAAGAACAAAGGTGACAACTATAAAATGCCATAAATTCTAAAACATACTCCAATTACAGAGATATTAAATATGAAAACACATGTATCTTAAAACTGATAAAATATGGTTTTCATAGATGGTCAACCTTCACAATGAAAAACACATGTATGGAGCAATGTAACATGATGCTGAATAGGACTTTTTCTGTTATCTGAATATGGCAACTGGATCCAAAGATGGAAACAAAGTGGAGCTAACTATCCTACATTCTAAAGAAAGCTGCAGACAGTTGGGAGCCAAACACTTCCTATAGGTTTAAGTGGGGTAGACACGCTCAGTCAACACCTCAACTGTCCCCCACCCTCATCCTAAAGATCATAGTAGTTTTGGTGAAGAGGCTTTTCTTTCTCTTCATCATCACCAATTTCTCCCCGTCCTGAAGTCAAGTAAAAACAGGCTCTGAGATAACTCCTAGAGATTCAGGGTCCTTGGAAAAGAGAGGAGCCCAGCATTCTTACTCTCTGGTATGATGATTTTTATTCTCAAAGAAATGGCCATGATGTTGTTGTTGTTGTTAGATGCCGTAGAGTTGTTTCCAACTCATAGCGACCCTATGCACAGCAAAATGAAACACCGCCCAATCCCACGCCAGCTCCATGATCCTTGCTATCCTTGAGCCCACTGTCACAGCCACCGTGTCAATCCATCTCGTCGAGGCCTTCCCCTCTTTCGTCGACCCTCCACCTTACCAAGCATGACATCCTTCTCCAGGGAATGGAGAAGGCCATGATAGAGGAGTAAAACATGACCCTTTGAATGTGGAAGTACATGTGAACATGGAAGCACATGAACTTTAGAGATTTACATAAGCAACCTATAACAGAATGGCAAGCAGAAACAAGTAACATTCCTGGGAATAACAGAGGGAATGATCTCTAAGCACAGATTCTACAGAAGAGGACTTGAGCATAAAGGAGCTCTGAGGTTAGAGGGAGGCAGCAGCACACCAGTAGCATATCAAGCCAGATCGCCACAGTGAGAGACATCAACAGGCAGCCACTTATGTAAGATCACACCTGCCATGTTTTCTATTCTACTTTCTAGCCAGAAGAGCAAGAGTAAGGAAAAGAAATACCAGAAAACACTCTTACAAAGTTGGTGTAGGAGCAGGAGTGGAAGACCAGACCATACCACATCCCACTCAAAGACCCCCGGGACAAAGCTTTACTGGCATCAAGGGAGAGGAAAAAAAGTAAGATTGGAATTTTAAAGTTGGCAGATATTTTGTTAATCTTTTAAGTTAATATATTTAAAATATACCCACACAAACATGTAGCTTTACATATATAAATGCCATTATATAGATGTTTTGTCTTCTCTGCTCCATGTGATTTAATACTTACTTACTGCCGTCAAGTTGGATCCAACTCATAGCGACCTCTCCTTGGGTTTCCGAGGCAATATCACTACAGAAGTAGATTGCCTAATCTTCCTTCTGAGGATTGGCTGGTAGGTTTGAACTGCCAACTTTCTGGTTAGCTGTCAAATGCCTTAGGCACTATGCCACCAGAGACACTACTTATACTTTCATATTTTCACCATACTTATATAATCCTACACACAGAGATTTTTATTGTTCTTCATTTCCTGTACCTATTTAGCATAAAAACATATCATATGTACTTTTCTATATCTCATTTTTTTTAATCAATCAACAGTAACTCACTGAAATCTCCTCAACTCATCTGGAAGAATTCTAATACAGGCATGCCTCAGAGATATTGCAGGTTTGTTTCCAGACCACAGCAATAAAGTAAGTATCACAATAAAGTGAGGCACACAAATTTTTGGTTTCCCAGTGCATGTACGTTATGTTTACACTATACTATAGTCTGTAAGTATGGAACAGTGTTATGAAACAGTTTGAGATGTTGTGAGAATTACTAAAGTGTAACAGAGACACAAAGTGAGCACAGGCTGCTGAAAAAAATGATACCAACTTGTTCAACACAGAATTGCTACAAACCTTCAATTTGTAAGAAAGGCAAATATCTGTGAAGTGCAATAAAACAAGGTATGCCTGTATATTTTTAATGTTTGTATTATATTCCATAGATGATTCAAACACTTCCCTACAGACAGGCATCATTTCATTTCCAGTTTTTGTCACTAAAAAAAAAATGCTGTGATAAACACCCTTATATATTAGTATTTTTATTTTCAGTAAGACAGATTCCCCAGAATGGGACTGATATGTCCAATTATAGTTATTGTATCTTCATACCTGTAGTCCTATTGTTTTTCAAAAAAGTGTCACAATTTGCATTTCTATGAATAATATGAGAATACTCTTTCCTTACATTCCCACTGCATTACATGTTATTTGTGCCAATCTATCTCATTGGTACCTTAAATTGTATTTCCATATGTGGTCATGAATTGGATCATGTTTCCTAGCCATCTAAATAGCTTTCCTGTGATTTGTCTATTCATTCCCTTACCTATTTTTGTCTTTTTTTTTTTCTGTCAATTATTAAGAATTCTGTGTATATTGTAGATATTAATCTTTCATCTGTTACCTATATTACAAATAATTTTGATTGACTTTGTTAATAGTGTCTTTTGTCCCATAATAGGTTTTTGTTGTTTGACTGGTCTTCATAATTTTTTAATTTTTATATGGTCATAAAGCTGCTAAGATTCCAGTAACTAGATGGGCTTTTTAATAATTAAAAGTGATTGAGATATTAAGGTATTGCTCTACATAGCAAGGAAAAATAGGAAAAAGAGATGTAATCAAACAAGGTTGAAGCAGTTAATGCTGAAATGTTTATTTCCCCAATCCATTAAGATTTTTTAATGAACTAGTTGCATCTAACTTATTTAAGTAGAGAAAGCATTATTATTTTAATCCTCATTTTTAAATGGAGAAACCGAAGTACGATGAAAACTCAAGGTGAGTGATACAATTGAAATTCAATAATATGTTTCTGAAACACAATTACAATGTCCATTTAAGTTTTTGTAGCATTTAGGAGTAGGCTGCTTACCTTTCAATAGCTAATTCTTTGTTAGAAAGTTGCTGCACTGTAATCACAACCTTCTTCTCTATTCCTTGTTTTAATTTGAAATAAAATTTATCTCTGTCCTTCGGCACAGGACTGAAACATGCAAAAAGAACAGGAGTTACCAATGCATTGATTAACATAAAGTATTAACCCACTCCAAGGTTAGAAACAGACAACAAACCATTTAACTAACAACTCTCCTACTCTTAAGATACACTAAATTCTTATCTTGCCACAAGGTAACAAACTATAAATATTATAGTCAGTGAAACAGAATTGCTGTCAATTTCTAAACTGGATTTTATTTTATCTCTAATGGAGATGAAACAAGGCGTTAAACAAAATGACAACATGATATAATTTCAAATTTTACTTTAGTGCCTAAGGCACTTGACTGCTAATCAGAAGGCTGGCAGTTCAAACCCACCAGCCACTCCTCGGAAGGAAGGTTGAGCAATCTACTTCTGTAGTGATGCCGCCTTAGAAACCAAAGGAGGAGTCGCTATGAGTCGTGGCCGACTCGATGGCACATAACAACAACAACAAAAAAAAATCAGTAATTTTGGGAAATCACAGTGTATTTAATTAATATTTTTTAAGACTGTCACATATCTGGCTTAGCTGGTCGAGTGGCCTCAACACAGTGATACCCAGTGCAAAAGCAAGTACAAAGAAGAGCTTACTTTTAGACATCCGGGATTTGAGATGACTATGGCATATCCAAGTAAAGATGAATAAAAGAAAGACTGTAGACATAGCTCCAGGGCTAGTTAATAAAATGTCAGCCTACACCAGATTGACAAAAAAAAAATTAAACTCATTGCCGTCAAGTTGGATCCAACTCATAGCAACCCGTCCTTGGGTTTCCGAGGCGGTATCTCTATGGAAGTAGATTGCCCAGTCTTCCTTCCAAGGAGCGGCTGGTGGGTTTGAACTGCCAGCCTTCTGGTTAGCAGTCAAATGCCTTAGGCACTATGCCACCAAAGGTTCTATTAGATTGACAACTACTATGAATTAATTCATTAAAACAATAAATGTCCAAATTATGGGTTGTCTTATCTGAAAAGGAAAAGTATACTGACCAAGTTATTTGACCTGAGACTCAATTTCTATATCTGGAAAATACAGATAAAATACTTATCTAATAATTACTAATAAAAGTAAAGGCATAGTTAAGGCACATAAGTGATCATTAAATAGTGTAAATATTTCCTACTAACTGCCTATTTCTGAACTGGAGAAAAATCATCTAAACTCCAAAAGAAGGAAATGGTTAATGAAACTATCATCAAACCACACAAAAATCAAAAACCAAACACCAATGCTATTGCTGTCAAGTCGATGTTGATTCATGGCAACTGCATGTGTTACTGAGTAGAACTAAGTTCCAACAGGCTACAATCTTTATGGAAGCAGATTGGCAGGGCTTTCTTCTGTGGCATCACTGGGC